CTGTGGTCACATTTAGAGCTGATTCACAAAAATAAAGGCAGCTGAAGATCTTGTAGAGACTGCAATTAAATGCAGCACTACAGAAAAGCTCTTAGTATTTAGTGACTTTGCTCTGATTTCTCTTCAACACAGCTGGTGAAAATGGCTGAAAATGGAGATGGTGAAAACATGTCTATCTTGGAGAGCAAAATCTGTCAGCAAATTGAGGTGAGTTCAATTTATAGTTTGGGACCTGAACTGAAATGTAGTTTTTGGAGACCTTAATTGGCTAACGGGAAGTTGTGCATCAGTAAACAACTTATTACTGTGTTTGTTGGGGTTATTCTTTGCATGCAAATAGGAAGATGCATTTTAATTCAGTGTGGCTTAATTGTGGGGGAAAAATCCTGTTTGGGAATCTGTGCTGTTCAAACTATTAACAAGCTGCATAATTTGCTATTATGATTTACTTTTGGAAGTGTCACATTAAAGCAGGAAGTAATAATATGAGAATTCCAATAAAAATAACAATTAAAATCTTGAACATTTTCATCCACTGCTGTAAATTGTCTAACAGAAAAGAGCTTTTGAAGTGTGAACATTCCAAAACAAATATTTCTTTTTTTGCAGTACTATTTTGGCAATCACAACCTACCAAGAGACAAGTTCCTAAAGGAACAGATCAAATTAGATGATGGTTGGGTGCCTTTGGAAGTAATGATCAAATTCAACAGGTAAAGCAAAGTACATCTAATTTGGATAGAAGGGTAATTTTCAGCTACTAAAATCTGTTTTGGTGGCCAAATGTGTCTGTTCACATGCATTTCCTCTTGCTGTTTCAACATTTGGCTTCAGCTTCTCCCTCTATATTTTTCATAACCTGCATCTCCTTACTTGATAGGTTAAGTCGCCTTTCGAAAGATTTTGGTGTTATAGTAGAAGCACTAAGAAAATCCAAGACTGGTCTAATGGAAATAAATGAAGACAAAACTAAAATCAGAAGATCTCCAAATAAACCCCTTCCTGAATTAAACGACCAGTACAAAGCTGCAATTAAAAACAGATCTGTATATGTTGTAAGTAAGCTTCTTCCTTTGCTCTGAGCTATTCTGGGTGGCTTTGACTGAAAAGCATCTAACCAAAATCAACTTGAGTTAACTCATAGTAGATAGTCGGGGTTATTTCTGGTGAGGTATTACAGTTTGTTGCATACAATTGAAGCTTTGTGCTGTTTTACAGAAAGGCTTTCCATTAGATGCAACTCTCGATGATATCAAAGAATGGCTGGAGGATAAAGGTCCAGTTGAAAACATTCAAATGAGGAGAACACTGCAGAAAACATTCAAGGTAGCTCTTGCAATCAACAGTTAGACCTGGGGCAGGGATGCCTTGTGCAGTACATTTTGTTAAATTATTCTAAAATTAAATGTATCTTACTCAACAGGGGTCAATATTTGCAGTGTTTGATAGTGTTGAATCTGCCAAGAAGTTCACAGAAATCCCAAACCAAAAGTACAAAGACACAGAGCTGATAGTGCTTTTCAAGTAAGTCCACCTACCTGATGTGTGAGCTGATAAGAGTGGTCAAGGGTGGATTGAAGTTTCTATGTTGCTTTACAGATATCAATAACACAGATCTTTGGAGATGAGTATTTTGACAGCTAAAGGCAGAAGTAGCCAATTAATAGTTGAGACTGTCTTATAAAGTAATTACAGTGGAATAATCTAAGTAGTATTAACAAAGTTTACATTCCATTGAAGGGAAGAGTATTGTACAAAGAAGAATGAAGAAAGGAAACAAAACAAAGTAGAGGCCAAAGCAAGAGCTAAACAGTAAGTCCTTATCAGCAGAAATGCCTGGTTTTGATCACCTGACCATACAAGAACCGCCTCTTAACTAATCTTAACTTCTCCACAGGGAGAAAGAAGCAAAACAGAAACAAGCAGCAGATGCTGAGATGGTATGAATTTATCTGTCTGTACTTGAAAACTGTTTTTTCATAGATTTTCAATAACCATCCTTTTGCAGCTGCACGCTGTAAAGCTAAGGTGGGGGATAGTCACACCTTTACATTCTATAATAGATCACTTTCTTAAAAGTTGAGATAACTTCCACAACTAACCTACAGTAAGGCCTCCTTTTGTCATGGTATTGCGTCTTATTTTCAAGAGACTGACTTAAAGGCTTATCCTGGATTTGAATTAGTAGGTATGTTCACCTGTTCAGACAGGATCCTAAATGTATCAATTAGATGACCATTTTCTTCTCCTACTTACAGACTCTTGTAGGGATGTAATCTGTGTTATGTACGTTTTCAACCTGAGTTCTCAGCCCTCGGAACTGTTTCAAAATCTCAAGAGCATAAGTATCTTATGAAAAGGATTCCCAACTTACACATAAATAAATCAGTAAGCAAAGAAAGAAAAAGTGTTTTTAAAAATGTCTTGAGTGGAACTGTATGAGACTTGGACATCAGCATAAATACATAGCAAGGATGCTTTGCTTACTTGTGGTACTAAAAAGGCTGACTTCAGTTGCTTATTTATTATTAGCGTGTTTTGATGTTACGCTAGAGGGATGGAAAAAATATATTCAAAGCTTGGCTTTTCAATAAAAAAACTTTTTTTTTTTTTTTAAAAAAAAAGAAATCTCTAGAAGAAAAGACAGGATGTCTTTTGAAGTTTTCCGGTGATTTAGATGATCAAACATGCAGAGAAGATCTCCATGCAGTATTTTCTGACCATGGAGAAATCAAATGGATACACTTCGTAAGAGGTGCAAAAGAGGTCAGTATAACTTTGGACATGGAGTTAAGATCTTCAAATTAATTTGAAACCGAATCATTAAATGCATGTGCTTTTATATCAAGCAATTATTTTTTTCTCTTTGACTTGTGCAACTGCAGAATATTTAGAGAATAAAATCATTTGCTTAAATTCCTTCAAAAGGATGAGTAGAGATTCCAGCCTCCTCAGCTGATGAGTTGAAACCTGAGAGTGAGAGTGTTTGTTATAACGGCTTGAGGGTTTTGCTTCAGTCTAGATATTTCACACCATGCAAACACTGAACTTGCTGAGGTACCTAGCAGGATATGTTCATCATTCAAGTTGAATGTTTTCATGATAAAATTCAAATGCAAATACCATTTTTTCTTTTTAAGGGAATTATCCTGTTTAAGGATGCTGCAAAAGAAGCTCTGGAAAAAGCTAAGGAAGCACATAATGGAAACTTACAGCTTCGGAACAAAGATGTTACTTGGGAATTGCTAGAAGGAGATGCGGAGAAAGAAGCTCTGAAAAAAATACTAGAAGATCAGCAGGAATTGCTGAAACAAAAAGGAAAAGGTCCTCTCTGACTGGTTGAAGCATTTACAGTGTTCTAGGAGTGGTGTTATGTATTCACAATCTCATTATCATGAGATAATTACTAACTGTAAAGCGTAATTTTAAGTTTGTCAATTAAAAGACAAATGATACCAAGTTCCTGTCATCTTATCCCAACAGGACGCAAACTTAAAGGAAGAGGGGGGAAGATACCTCAAGGTTCACACAAAGGGAAGGTACAGTTTCAGGGCAAGAAAATAAAGTTTGAGAATGAGGAAGAAGGCGAAGATGATACTAAAACAGGTATACTATTCTGCATGGGATGCACCTTCTTTACTGCAGGGGGCTGGTTAATGGACAGTTTTTTGTTTTCTAAATTTTTTTCTGGTTTGGCCCTATGCTGTAGTACTTCAGTTGTTGTCCTCTGTCAGTACTAGTAAAGTAAACGTTAAGGTCCTCTGCTTAACTCTTTTCAAAAGTTAAAACTGTCCAAAACACATTAAAAAAAAAAAAAAGTATTAAACATTTACTAGATGCTGAGTTTGTACTGCAAGACTATTCAAGGCGTTCTGTACTGAGGACGGTGGTTACCATCAACTACTCCCACCCTCCCCATCCTACCCCAGCATCTTGAGGCATATCAAGTCCAGTAGTTCTGGATAGCGGAAGGGGGCTCAGAGAAGACGAACAGCTAAATCTTCTGTTTTTTAGATGTGACCTGCTTTAAAAACAAAGAACAAAAACCAACAAAACACAACCATTCAACCCTCCACCTCTTAAATTTCATTCTGTCATCTTCTTACCTGCCCTAGTGGTAGAACTTCTACAGGTGTTGTGATCTAACCTTGCAGGCAGCTAAACACCTCACAGCTGTTTGCTAATTCCCCCTTCCACTGTGGGATGCTGGCAGGAACTGGGGGGCGGACACCACAACTTGTTGGTTGAGATTTTAAAGTAAAAAAGCTGTTTACTGAGACAGAAATAGTAATGCTAACAATATATACATATTTACAAAACAAGTGATGCAGAATGCACTCACCACCTGGCCTGATGCCCAGACAGTCCCCCGGCCAACTCCCCCAGTTCAGTTGTTCTGTATGATGTTATGGGATATGGAATATCCCTTTAGCCAGTTTAGGTCAGCTGTCCTGGTTGCCCCCTCCCAACTCCCTGTACTGCTACAGCCCCCTCACTGGCAGGGAATACCAGAAGCTGAAATGACCTTGGCTCTACGCAGCACTGCTCAACAGCAACTAAAATGTGTTATAAACATTGTTCTCCTAAAGCCAAAACACAGATTCATATCCGACATTATCAACAAAATTAACCTCTGTCCTACCTGAAACCAGGACAACAAGGAATGCTTTCATTATTTAAGAATGCGTAGAAATTCAAAGTCGCATAATAAGCAAACCATCTATCATAGCCACAGGGCTGAGGATCAATCTAGGACCCATGCTTGGGCAAACATGTATGAATATTTCAGAGTAACTTAAGTTGTGGTTTCTTGTTTTTTGTTTTTTTTTTTTTTTCCCAGAAGATTTGGGGTAGTGTAAAGGCTTTCCTTTACCATAAATGACTATGTATTCAATTTTGCAGAACCAGTAAGTCCTAAGAAGAGACCACTAGAAGAAACAGAAAAAGAAGAATCTGCACCAAAACAACTGAAAACAGAAAATGGAGATGGAGCTCAGTAATACTAAAGTAAAAATACCATTGTTTTTATTAGTTCATTTTAAATAGGTTTTAAAGACATGCTTCAGTTCAGGAGTTTCTGGTAGAAAATCTAATGAAATCCACTTCAATGTCAACCTATAATGAGAAGAGACCTTCATTTCATTGGGTTACAACTTCTTGTTGTTGTTAAAGCAGCATGCTTATTCTTAAGATGCCACTCTGGAAAACTCTTTTGTATGTATAGTTTTGTTTATACTGTTAATGCTCTCAAATTCTCTGGCATCCCATTCAAATGTAAAAGGTTCCTGACTTCATAATCTCAAAGTGATATTACATAGTAGCTACCAATAAATTCGGAACTGAAAACTGCTCATTGCTGACCCCTCTGTTCAACCATTAAGTAGTAACAGCAATGGAACTTACTGCCGCCATAAGAAACTTTTCTCAAATTCTATGAATCATCCAGTAGGTATGAGCCTAAAACTTAGGTTCTTTCACTGGAATTCAGTTGCCCTCATACAAGATGCTTTCTTCTCACTTGTGTTAGGTTTTATACTTACTGATTTCTTCTTATGGAACTTGTATGATGCTGGTAGGTCATATCTAAGTTCTGTGAACAGTATAAAAAATGTTACTCTACAATGATTATTGTAAGTTGTAAGTTTATTAACTTACACCCTACATCTACCTTCTATTGCTTCTCTTGCCCATCTCTGAGCCTTGACTGGATAATAGTTTTGACCTCTATGCTAGATTTCTTCACTAATTAGGACTGAAAATTTAATCCGCCTATATCAGACAAGTGGACAGCTGAGAAGCAAAAACGCATCTTAGGCACTTGTGCAACTCCACGTCTTAAGTTGTATGACTATAAACCATGTAGCTGATGATACTTAAGGATCAGGAGAATAACTGAACTGCCCAAAATACTTGGTTGACTGCAATGGCAGGATGATTTCTCATGTAAGAACTCAATTATTTGGTTATGTTATTCCTTCTTAAGCAGGAAGATGGGTAATTTCTGCCTGAAGACAAAAGCTAGTCCAGGAAGAAATAAAATTATGCAAATTTTTTTTTTTTTTTTTTTTAATAAAAGGTTAAAAAACACTTGTGTCATTTTTAGTCTTAAATCATACTTAAATTTTCCTCTAGATTTTAAGTTTCTATTGTCTTACAGCTGTTAGCCCCTAAGAAAATACTTTTAATAAGAAATTAATCTTACCTGCTATGACTTCCATCTTCACTTCCCATTCATCTGCTTTCTTCTGAATATGCTGCAGTGTTAAACAGAGCTGTCTTTAAAGGCTGATTTTTACAGAGTTCTATGAATATCAACACACCCGTATGAATTTAGGAAATCTCCAATGCCTGTTTTTCAACCTAAAACATTTGATGTATTTATCTCCGTGTATGCAAAATCACAGGTAGTCTTTGATATCAGTATTCACTCAAAATGGGCACAAACCATTGAAATGTGAACAAATCAAAGAAATTAAAGACAGTATGACAAATTACCAGCTACTTAATTGTTTGCTTAATGCTCACTCTATTAACAGGAAGGACCTACCTGCCTTGTTGAAGTCTTGTGAAGGGAATAGACAGCTGTTTTTGCCATTTGTAAAGCGGTTTTCAGAAAGATCATATCCATCCCTAGAAGAGTGCTGAAATCAGAATTGCTAAATGCAAGTTTAAGAGAATTTACAGAACTGTTTCATGCTTCAATTTTTCTGAAGCAGTAGCTATTTGAGAAACAGCAGTGAATATGTTATAGAAAGTATTTCTGCAACTTTGCCAACTGTTTTTAATTAAAAAAATAAAGGATATGAAATAGTGTTGTATGTTTGAAACCCAGTGATTTTTAGCTGTAGCACTGGAGTGGTTGACCTCTACTTAAAAAACTGATTTCAGGACAGCGAAACATTGTCCCATATTGCAACAGAGAGATTTCATTAAAAGTATCTCCCCTGATACTTTGTTCCTAATTGCATCTGACTGACTTTCAGAATTACAAACCTTTATTATGTTTGGTACCAAAAGGAGGATTCATGATAACTGTGTCAAAAGTCTCCCACATGCTGTCTGGTAAAGAGGAGACATCACACTGAACCACATCAATGTTTGTGAGCTCAAAGTCTTCAAGGTTACTGTTGAATATTTTCAATGCCTCTGCATCTATGTCAAATCCAACACACAATCTATTGTTAAAACAAAACAAAAATGACACAAAAAACAACCATATTAGTTTGCAAAATAAGAAACTGTTCCAATTCTGTAGCAAAGTTTTGAAAAGGAGCAGTTGTTTTAACTCAGAAAAAGGCATGCAATTACAAGTTTAGTGCTTATAGAAGTGAAAGTAACTGTTGCTTTTTCCAAGTATCTTTTTAAGGTTTGTGAAAGAAGTTCCATGTTTTCATTCAGCACTTCAGGAAAAAACAAATGTTATTGTTTCTTTCATGGCAACCGTCCATCTCTTCCACTGTTTGAGAGGTTACTGACCATAGAAACATGTTAAATAGCATGATTTGTTCAGCACTGCTACGTTCTGATTTTATTTTCTCCTATTCTATACTAGAAAAAAAATGACCAGAACGTAGTACTGAAATACTCACCCTGCTCCCAACATTGCACTTCCAATGCTGAGCATGCCACAGCCACATCCTAAATCTGCAACTGTTTTGTTTTCAATATCATCAAAAGTATTGTGAATTGTGTACAGCATACATGCTGAGGGGAGAAAGAAACACCATCAGTAATTCCAAATATACATCCGATTAATCAACAGAAATTACTTTCTTCTGCCTTCAGAAAACTGAACTGAATCTCTCTTATGCAAAATTAACCCCATGTTTTCATTTCACTGTCTGTAATCCTCGTTTTCATTTTTATGTGAAAATGATACTTTCATTTTTCCAGGTAAGAAAAAAAACAACAACAGTATTTTTGGTCTGGTGGGTATAATTCATAAAGATTAGAGAACTTTTAAATTTGTGGAAAAGTTTTCGGGGGAGGAAAACCAACAGAAACTTCCAAACTTTTAAAATAGTGGAAAAATTCAGAATTAGGGTAGTGGTGAGTGTACTTGCAGTACTGCAGTATGTCACAAAATATGACCATTCCAGTTTCCATTTGCAGGCTAAGATGCTTCTATCACAACATATCTTTTAAATCCACTAACACTAATTTGGGATTGTAAATTATCAGTTTACTTCTAATAAGTTAACGTAATTAAAAATTAACGAATCCATCTTCCTGCTAGATAAAATTTGTCAACTACTTCTGTGATGAAAGCTGTAAATGAGTACAGTGGGAGATGCAACAAACACTCTTAGGAAGAAGCAGTAAATGGGACGTGATACGAGAGCCCGGAGTGAACCTTACCTGCGATGTGGGGTCTTGTCGGGTACTGCTCAAGGAGCACTTTTGGACTTCCAAAGGTATCGACCTGCTGCAGGCAGCTTTCCAGTTCTTTGAGCTTTAATTTCTTCATGTTTCCACTGGGACTCGATCCTCACGTATCCCTTCCCACTCTCCTATGATTCTAGCTAAGAATAATACAAAGCATCACAATATTGAGCAGTTCTAACCTTAAAGCCCCCCGCAGCAGCTGACAGCTGACAGCCGGCCCCTACGGGCAGACAGCGCGGGGCCGGGCAGCGCCAGGCGCCCCCATTCCTGCCATGTGCCGCCCACCTCAGCGCGGGGCTCCGTTCCCAGCGATGAGCACCCGGCACCGAGCGCTAAGCCCCAGCCTCTCTCCTACCCGTCCGGCCGCCCTCCCGGCTCTCTCTCACGGCCTACAGGTACAGCCGTAGCTCCAGTCCGGCTCTCTCGCGCCCGAGGCCGCCCGAGGAAGCCCGGACCCGGCGGGGCGGGACCGCGTCGGGCGGGGAAGGCAGAGGAAGGGGAGGGGCGGGGAGAGGAGAGGCGGACGGGTGGTATCGCGAGAGGGAGGCGCCGCCAGGAGGGAGGGGAGGAGAGGAAAGGAAAGGAGAGGAGAGGAGAGGAGACGAGAGAGGAGAAGAGGGCGACGAGAGGAGCTCTAGAGCCGGGAGTCCGGCGCGGCCGTAACGGCCCCTCGTTTCCGCATCATGGCGGGGACTGGCGCCAGCAGCCGGGATAAGCGAGCGACGGCGATGCGGCTGAAGGTGGCGCTGGGCGGCGAGAACAGCACGGCAGCGGCCGGCGAGTTGCGGGCGCTGCTGGAGCGGGTGCTGGCCCCGGCGGCGGGCTCGGGCGGCGGCGAGGCGGCGGGCGAGGCGCTGGAGTGGTGCCGCTGCCTGTTGTCGGGCGGGGAGCCCTGGGACGGCTTCGTGCAAGCCGTGCGGGCCTACGATCCGGCCACGCTGTGCGGCCTGGTGTGGACGGCCAACTTCGTGGCCTACCGCTGCCGGACCTGCGGGATCTCGCCCTGCATGAGCCTGTGTGCGGAGTGCTTCCACCAGGGCGAGCACGCCGGGCACGACTACAACATGTTCCGGAGCCAGGCGGGGGGCGCCTGCGACTGCGGCGACAGCAACGTCATGCGGGAGGCCGGGTGAGCGGCGGGCAGGCGGGCACCTGCGGGAGCGGCGGGCGGGCGGCCGCCCTCCTGCGGGCCGGGGCGTTGGGCGGGCACCTGCTGCCAACCGTGCTAGCGGCGGCCTTCGCCCGGCCCGGCCCTGGGCCTCTCGCTGCTCGGTGGCCTTGCGCTGAGGGCCGGCTCTCAGGGCGCCGCCGGGGCGGGAGTTGCCGCGCCCGGTGTCGGCCTGTTCCGCTGGCCCAGGGTGGGCGCGCAGCGGATGGCGGGTGGATCGGGGTGCGGGAGTCATCTCGGTTCTCCCGAGCCACGGGTGGTGTTGCCTCCCGTTGGCTTCTGCTGGCATTAAAGCGGGGTCTCGGAACCGCTTAGGTGGGTGCGGTATGGCAGAGTTCAGGAAAGGGAGGTGTCTGCAGCGCCCCATCGACGTGCAGACCTACTGTGGGCAGGACGGTGCCCGACCTTACGAGCAGACTTCAGTATCTCGTTATATCTGCCTTTGTTCCATTGTACTCAGTAGTAAGAACAGATGGGCCGACTGGCTGTCGTGTTGGGCGGTAGCTGGTTCATACACCTCTGGTCTCACTCCCGGCTGTCTTTCTGGAGCTTGCTGTGCTCCTGTTTGTTACTGGAGGCCACGGGTTTGCCTGAAGGCAGCTCGGAGTACCTGAACGGGGCTTCTGACTAGCGCTGTGGAGCTGTTAGCCTTGCTGGCATGGTGTGCTTCCAGAAGATCCATCTCCTCCCAGTAAGTCTTCCCTTGTGGAGGTGGCAGAAAAAGCTAAGGAAGTGTGGAAATACTAAAATGCTTTCCTTAGTTTCTGTGTTTTTAACGCCTCTTTTTTTTTTTTTTTTTTTTTTTTTTAATGTGTGCAGTTCTGCTTAAAGACTACATTTGTGGTTCTGTTTCTCGGTGCCTGTGGTAACAGTTCTCCTGCTCTAGGCCTTGAAGTGTTTTCCTTCTTTGTTTCTTGTCATGTTTTTTTGCCCCCACCTCCCCATTCCTGTTAACTCTCTGCCTTCACCATTTCTTCATCCTTCCTTTCTGGTGGAGCCTCTTCCACTTGAGGACTCCCTCCAATGGAAGAGATTGTTTTTTTGGTTCTTTTGTTTTGATAGGTCTTCATTGGCTTTAAAGGGCCGCTCCAGAAGTAATTGTTTCTCTGTCAGTTTTTGTTCAACTGCTTTTTCTCTTTCCTCAGTATCAGTGAAGTAACAATTCCCCTTGATCTTGAGAAGTCAAAAGTACATGTCACTTCTTCCAGTGTGGGATAGATTGAGGGCTCCTCATAGTGGTAGGATTCTAAAAGAGCATGGATAAATTGAACTACCTCAGATAAACATTAAGATGACTTCTAATATTGCTCTCATCTGAGAGTTTATGGCTTCCATAACTGTCTTTTCCTATTTTAAACAGTTTTTTTTCTTGAAGAGCGCTGATTCAGTAAAGAAGTTGATAAATTTGCAGTGTAAACAGATGCAAACCCTCGGGGCATTTCTCTTATATTTATTCTAGTTATTACTTTTAATAGTAGAATTCAGGAGTAAATTGTCTTTGGCATAAGCTAGATCTCGGAGGTGGATTTAGTCCTTCCTGCTACAGGATTTCACGGTGTTGGTCTAGGAACAACACTCTTGGCTGAGCAGTCTTGTCCAGCCCTGGGCATACAGAGCCAAACCTGCTGCTGTGTGGGAAACCCGCCCATCATGTGGGATAGTTAAATTTAAACCAATGTAAAACCATGAACAAGTGCAAACATACTTGTGCACATACACACAAACACGCAGCCTTGCCTGTTGACTTGAATAACTTCGATGCAGCATGTTTAGATAAATTGATTGACCTTTGTGTGTACAAGTCAGCTGCACAATGGCAAAGGTAATGCTTTACACGTGATTGGGAGGCTTTCATTGTTGATTCAGGAAATAGGAGTGTGACTAGCCTGGTGTAACCTTGCCCACCCCAACCAGAGCTTCTATTAATAGCAGAGGAATCAAATGTGGAACCTGCTTGCAAACTCAGTAGGCAGATGGTAGATACAATGCTTTGTAGGTACTGTAAATGAGCATGTAGTAGCAGTAGTTTCTCATGGTTATTGTTACCTATGTGTTTAATGGTTTGGTTGTTTTCTTGTGTGTGTGGGGGTTTTTTTTTTTTTTTGTTTGTTTGTTTTTGTCATTTGAAAAATAGTTTTAATGGGGTGTTAGCTAACAGATCTGCTGTAAAGGAGAGCTCTCCAGCTCACCATCTGGAGTATCTATTTGTTTTCTCTAGAGATGGCTTTGTCTACAACATGAGGGTAGATATGTTTGTTAATCTTTTGGCAGTAATCAAAACTGCAATTTTAGAGTTAAAATTTAAAATTAAAAATATTAGTTTTGATTTTTTTGTGTCTGATGTCAGGATACGCTGTGATAGCTGTCTGCTAATTTGGTTTAGGTATCTTCTGCATTTCTCAGTTATTCTAAAAAAAAAGCAGATTGTCATGCTCTTAAGCCTTGTGATTCTCATTCAGGACTCAGTGACTTTGGTGGTTAACCTCAGTTGATCTAATCTACCAGAAGGTAATTTAGACTTTAGAAAATACCTGAGTTTTTAAATTTTAAGGATGTAGCTGCTTGTCCAAGTATGAAAAGCACTAACTGTGACAAAGTTTTCTAGATTTTGAGCACTGGTGATACATCAGTGGATGAAAATAATTTGTAGTCCTCTCCTGTGTGGTGCTGAGCCTTAGACAGATGAAATTTGCAGCTCTGTCAGAGGTACTTAATGTTTTGGATACAGTTCTTCAGTTCTAAAGCGTTGATGGTGAGCATGCTCACAGTTCAGCAGATGGGCTCATCTGCTGCAGTTCTACAGGAGGAAATTCAGACTGGAATGTTTTTTTGGTTGGTAGATGGTCTTGTGTAAGAATGAAACTTTGTAGTGTATAAAACAAGCTTGAAAGAAACAATATGCCATGTGGTTATAATAAGAGTAAAACTAATCAGTGATGTGTTATTGATGAGTGCTGTCTTGCTTTTGTGGTTATCTTGTTCCGATTCCCCTTCCCGTCTGTAGGCAATAACCTGATATACCAGAGCCTCTACTCTTTGGCTGTTTCATTCCCCCGTGTCCTGTTTCTGAGTGTGCCTTGCTGTGTGTTAGCTTATTTGTTAAATTAATCATGTGGGAAGCAGATGTTTTAGTGCTGCATTATACTACAAAGAGAATATCTCCATCAAAAGTTGCACATCCTGAAAGGCAAAAAGCCAGGTTAAGAATTTCATTAAACAGGCATTGATGTTCGCTGTGTATTTGATGGTAGTTATGGCAACTGTGGCTCTGTTGACGTGGAACATTGCCTTCTCTTATGACTTATTAAAAAAAGTCTAAGAAATTATCAATTTCTGCATGCGACAATGGGCCATTTCTTTCTTAGTAGGCTTGTGTGAAATGAAAAAAAAATCTAGTTATAAACAAAGTGACTGGTACAGGTCAGTGTTATATGTTGTGTGTCCAACAGCACCTTCATGTAACTAGCTGTAGGTGTTCTGCAGCCTTGTCTCTCATTATCCATATTTGCTTTTCCTTTTAGCTCTGCTGTCTGAGAGGGTACAGCGTTATAGGCTTTGGAGATCCCATCTGATCTGCACACTGGGTCAGGTCCGTCTTGATGTCTGTGGCCATCTATTGGGTCTGCTGTGATCCCGTACAAAAAGAGTGGAGAATTCTCGTGTTTCTGAGTATAAGAAGTATACTTGCAGTTTTCAACCTGCTAATTTCTCCTGGTTTAATTTAGTTAGAATTGACTCTGGGTTTTTTTTCAGGACATAAAAATGTTTGCGCCAGGAAACACACAATAGTTTTAGTAAAGTTTAAATTATCAACAGTAGATGACTCATATTGATTACCTTTGCTACTTTGTTCCCACTTTTCCCTCTTCAAAATTCCCTGCTTTATCCATCTTCAGAGACGCTGCTGTACAGGATCTCTTTTCAATAGAAATAGCCTTTCCATCTTATGCGGGAGCTATAGCAGAATATTATTTCCATTTGTTTTACCAAGTAAAAAAGTAAGGGATGTTTCTCCTACACTTAAAAACTTTCTAGACAAGCTATTGAAAAAAAAACAAGCTTGCTGTTGCGAAAACTGCTATATCAGTTACTTTGAGATGTGTTCATAGTGCAAGGTATCATCTTTGGTTGTAGCAGCTGTGATCCACTTAAGATCAGAAAAGTCAGTTTAAGACTTGGTTATAAGAAACACAGACAGTGACTGTGCTACTGGCGGTTTGTCAACTGTCTTGCAACAGCAAATAGTATTTAGCACAGGCAAGGTGTTG